AATACCTATTAATAATTTAATTGATAAATACTAATTTAGCCGTTTATGCGTATGTCCTTTTATGCTAAAGGCAGTCCATACAGATGCAGATATATATATATAGATATAAAACAAAATTCAGATACAGATATGATTAGTAAAAATATATATGTATAAAATTAGACTACAATAATATTAATTGATTGATGTTGAAGTTTATTAACAAATTCAGTTGCTGTGCTATATTAGAACGAAATTATAAACCAGCTGTAGAATAAGTTACATGATTTATGATTTCGTTCTAATATAATACAACAAGTGAATTTATTAATTAACTTTCACAGCAAATTAACAAAACTCCAAGTTCGAATATGCAAGGTAGGGCTTTAGCTCAGTTGGCTAATTAATACTGACTTTGACTCTTCAAATTTGGCAGGATATGCGTTCAATCCTTGGTACTTATAATCTCAAAAAATTATTTACGAATAATAAAATATAAAAAATAATTCCAAGACCACTGATGATGATCAGCCAAAAATTCAATTAATTAATAAAAATAATAAAAAAATTTGTTGTTGTAATTTTATACTGTAAGATATACCTCTCCATTGAAAACAATAGTTTATATTAAGAATTTAGTATCTTTCGTCGAAACGGGCGTTAAAAATCAATGTACTAATATATAATAAAATTATATATTATCAGTGATTTATATAAAATATTTACTGAATTTAAGGCAAAATTAGTAGGGGTGTTGATATATTGACATAACATTTATTTTGGCGTGAGTTCTTTAGTTCCACCTATCAGGTTCTGCGCACACTCGAACTGCCACTGTACCATTTGCATAATAATAATTGCCAAATAAAATGAAGAGTATTTAATATTTTGTTAAAAGTATTATAAGACATTAAGATAATGTTGAGGTTGGGTCTAGCGTCCCCTACTCCTATCTAGGTACGTCCATGGATCTTAAAAGAAGTAAATGTATGATTATACATTAGAAATCAATTAATAAAGCCTGTAATCTGAAGTAGTTGTTGAGTATGTTACTATTAATAGACCAAAGTTTATTTATTTATTACCAGCTGAGCAGGGGAAATTAATATTATTAATTAACCTAATAATACCATTTAATATTTTTATATTAAAGTTATTAATAAACCTTATAATACTAATTAATACTATTGTGTGTTTCGGTTTGTTTGTTATAAAATCTGCAGGTATTAGAATTCTTTAATCGTATTATCGAAATACGATACCAAATAATTATTTAATTATTTAATATTCATTTGACTGTATATCTATTGAGACTAGGAAACCGGCCAGCATTTTTGTTGTTGTCCTTAAAGGTTATTAGATAGTTTTCAATTGATCTCAATTATTGATATTTCGCCGTTTTGCTTCCACATTTTTCTCAAAAATTCTTAAGATAATTAAACCATAGATAAATTCATTTCGTTAAATTTGGGTAATTTAATAGTTCTTTCGTCACTATTGATGAATAGTCTGATAAGTTGTCTCTTCTCTTAGAAATGCAATTTCTTTTGAACGCTAAAGCCGGGCATTCAGAGAGAAAATGTTTCATGCTTTCTTTTCTCTACAAATTTCCATAACTTTTACAATTAGTATTAAAATGTATGCGCATTTAGGTTCTTTATTTAGGTTCCTATACACTAGTGACCAGAGAGAATTGCCGTAAGCTTTACAGTATTCAGGCGGTCTCATTTAATAAGTTCCAAAGATATGGTTTTGATATAGAAAATCTGGAAGCTAAATGTCTTCCGTTTATTCTTGGCAATCTGTAGGAATTTGCTCATGCATTAATTAATAATTTATATTCAATTTTACTAATTGGTAATGTAGTGTGACAAGCGAATATTTAGCAAAAAGATTTTAATCCTATAGAAGAAGTAAAAAATTCTTTCTCAGTAAGTTTGTGCGTTGTACCGTTTCCATCGAACTTCTCGTATTTTGATATCGAGATATAGGATTATGAAATGGCGACATAACTGAACGTAAATGTAGTTATGTCGAAATCCAGATATGGGATTTTTCCAAATTCATACTTATGAAGTGGCGACGTAACCGGCCGTATATAGTTCCACGAAAGACAATTCAAAACAAAACTGTCAAATAATTGAATGTATATATTGGGATCAATAGTACGTAGCATGAACAGTTAGCAAATCTATGTAGAAACCTTAACCTCTTGGTAGAATTATCGATAAAATAATTCTTTTATTATAGTCGTACAGTAATTCTGAATAACTAAGATTACTATTTTAAAATGTAGGGTACAATAATATTTAACACAGAACTTTTGATTGAAAAATTAAACTTTTTGAATAGCCCTTGTGTGAGAATGATTGAAAGCGTAAGTAAATCAATTTTAACGTTCTGTGAAACTTTTACATTGTATTGTGGAATAAAAGGAATATTGGCAAAATAGTTTATGGATTCAAATAAAATCTCTTAAAAATTCAATTCACAAGTTCAATATGAATTGTCATACAGAAATTATTGTTTGTGAATGTAATTGATAAAAAAGGATAAAAGGCAGAGAAAGTTTTGCTAAATGAAAAAGATAATTATTGATGGCTAATAATTTGAAATTAGTTCTTTAAAGTCATAACTTTTCATTGTTGTCCTGTCAACTTCAATGTTACAATTTAATATCTGAAATTAACATCTGATTTTTTTTTGTTTAATTTATTTTCATTTGAAGAAAAAATATTTATTTGAGTAATTGAAATTGTGATTACCACAGAAATGATAAAAATATAGTTCATTTTCGAAAAAATAGAAAAAAATCTTTTTCCAATTATATTTAATCGTTGTAGATTTATCGAGACAAGTGCGTCAACAACACGACATAACAGCAACAGCAACAAAATAAATGCAAATAAATGATAAAATACATTGCCAACGGAAAATGAAAGAAACTGTCAAAACACACGTAGGAAAAACTTCCATTGACGCCAATAATAACCTCAAGTAAACAAATGATATCCCCGAATCAATTTTCTTTTACTACCGGAGAAAGGTGTGCTAGGGCAGTGAGGGTGCATAAGCTTAGGGGATAGTACTTACTTTTCCAACTTTCTGTGATTTCATCGAAGACGGCAACTTCATTGTTGGCAATCAACGATAAACGGCCTTCAACATTATTGCGCTGCTTTTGTTGATGGTGTTGCTGCTGCTGCTGTTGCTGCTGCAGCTGTTGTTGCTGTTGTTGATGGTGTTGTTGTTGCTGTTTTTGTTGATAGTGTTGATGCTGTTGTGTTACATTACGTATATCATGCACATTATCAGGCTCATTTCGTATATGCTCTCTCTCTCTATCTCTATCCCTTTCCTGGTCTCTATCCCAATCTTTTTCACGTTCCCTATCTCGGTCTCTGTCTCTATCTCTTTCCCTTTCTCTTTCCCTTTCCCATTCCCTTTCTTTATCCACGTATACTTTGCGTTGTTCACGCTGTTCTCTATCACGTTCCCGACTTTCACGCTCTAATTTTTCGCGTTTCTCCCATATATTGACACCGACATGTTGTTGCTGTTGTACATCCACTGGCTGTTGTTGCTGCTGCATTTGCTGCTGTTGATGTTTTTGTTGAGGCTGTTGTTGGTGCTGCTGGTCCTTGCTTTTGCTGCCATACAAATACTGATTAACGAGCTGTGTTACTCCTTCGATGCCACCTGGCACTGTTTGTGTTTGCGTTTGTTGTTGGCTTAGCAAATGATGGTCATTTGAACGTTTACTTGTTTCAGTTTGTTGCTGCTGTTGTTGTTGTTGTTGATGATATTGGCTGTGATTCACAGGACTACGACCAACGCGTATATGATGTTGTTGTTGTTGGTGTTGGTGCTCTTGTTGTTGACGTGACATATAATTGCTGCCATTATTATTGCCATTATATGTTTGTTGATGGTATGCACGTCTTGTTGTTGACGGTTGTGCTGTTGCCGGTATTTCAATTTCGTTGCCACTATAGTCGGTCGGTGAATTGAGTACATTGCTAGCTGTTATATTGTGCCGTGTCTCCCAATAATTATCTTTAATAAAAGGATTTTGATTTGAACTGCCGTTGAGTTGTTGGTGTTGTTGGTGATTGACAGTCCCAATCAATTGTGTTTGTGACAAATGCGTATATTGTTGTGGTGATTGCTGCTGCTGGTGTTGTTGTTGTTGCTGCTGCTGCTGTGAGTTTGTATGATGAGCATGATGATGATTGTTGTAGTTTGTACGTTTACGTGGCATTTCGTAAGTGCGTCTGTCTTCACGTTGCCCTCGTAGTTCGTTAGCTAAATTACTTGTATGATAGTAGAAGCTCGTATATGTCGGTACAGGCAATTCTTCTTCGTCGTCGTTATCGTTCTCGTTGCTCACAATATTGTTGCCAGGCTCTTCAAATTTGTGCGTAGCAGCTGTTGATGTACTCAATGTATCACCGTTTGTCAAATTGTTACACAAAAAGGGATTAGTTGATATTCTTGGTGTTACTGAAGACAACGATTCGGATGATACTGAAGATGTTGATGGCGGCGGCGGTGACTGCGTTATTATATTTACGCTCTTATAATAATTGGTAGCAAATGTCTTTGTTGTTGCCGCTTCAGGTGATGCTTTACTTTCGTATATTGTTGTTGTGTTTATTGTTGTTGCTGGTGCTGGTGTTTTGACTATCGGAGGGGTTCTACAATTCGACTCACTTAATGAGTTAGTCGTTTTTGCACCGTTAAGATTTATTTCAGTTAAATGATAACTTAAATTAGTATCTGCTGTGTCGCTCCCATTAGTATTGTGACTGATGTTTAAGTTATTATTGCTATTTGTTGCCGTATGCTTAGGACGACACTTAGGAAAGAGCAATGATATTTGATCGTTAAGCGGAGGCGAGGCTGAGAGTAGAGTTTGTGATAAATTTACAGCTGACTTATTTGCTTCATTGTATTTCGATTTTGTGGTTTGATCGGATTTTGTGGTTTCAGCTGCTGCAGTGGGTGTTGATACTGTTGTTCCAGCAGTTACTGTTGTAGTGATGTTGCTGCCCTTGCCGTTGCAAAGCGTTGAAGGTCGCTGGTAGTGAAGCTGTGTATTGTGGTTACTCTCGGCTGGTGTGACGTTTGCTGATTTAATTGTAGTTTCGCTATTGTGGTTGTAACTGTTTAAATTGTTGCTGCTACTACTATTTACAATACTGTTGGGAACACCATTCGATGCTAACGAGTTGTAATAGTAACTATTACGCACTACCGAAGCTGTTGGTAGCGTTGATGAATGATGCTGTTGTGAGGAATTGTAGTACTGCTGTTGCTGCTGCTGTTGTTGTTGTAACGCTGTAGATCTCTGATAATTAGTATTGTTTGCGGTTGACGTTGCCGATGACTGATGATGATGATTTTGGTTTGAGCTACTCGTTGTTGGTTGTCCAGCAGCTATTGTTGTCAATGTTGTGCTTACCATTATTGATGCCAATTAACTGAAATTGTCAAAATAAGAAAAATGTGAATAAAATTTCACTACGATGCACAAGTTTGTATAAATATAGTATATTTATATATTTGTTAGAGAATTTTTTCACTTGTATTGCTTTTGTGGCTTTCATATTTTTATCGTTTTTCGTACAACTCTGTGTCACCACATGTTAAATTATTTTAATTGCCTTGGCAGCAATTCTTCTGAATATCACAGCATGTGTTTGACATAAATATTTAAGTGAATATCACAAGCACACATGGTTGTCACCCATATATTTGGTAGTTACCACAATTTGAGGATACGATAAAATTGCATGTTCTCATCTATAAAATAAAAACGATTGCATTTAACAATAAAATATTTTTTATTATTTTAACAAATAAAATAAAAATATTTTGAAATTATAAAATTAAGAGCTATTAAATTGAATTGCTGCCCACTGTGTCAGCAATTTCTTTTTAATAGGAGCGTGGTTAGTCAATTAAATGATCAGACTATTTATTTAATGTTAATATAGACAAATAAATTTAAATTTACTTAAATTTAATTATGCAAAATAAGATTTAAAAAATGTCACACACATAATTTGTTAACTTAATTGGCCATAAGTATAACTCTACTTTAAAAGCTAAAAAACTTAGATAGAAATTTAGTTTCTATATTCCAAATCAGTGATGTTCATATGAGGATATTTTGAATTATTCTATTAGTTTGAATATCATTTTATTAGAAAAAATTATAAATAATAATTCATCATATTCATACACTTCGACACTCATATTTGCAACAAATAGTTCCATAACTGACTAAATTTCAGGACTATATAGATATTTGATATTCGACTACAAGACTACTTAACTAGCTGCATAACATTGACAAAATTTCAAATATCTGAATAGTTCGGATTTTTTTTTGGTACTCTAAATACACTGAATTATAAAACTGACTAAATAGTCGGTTAATTTAAACACATTTTCTCAACTTAAGCAGAGCCATATTGTTGAAATGGTAGTGCAGGTTGATAGTACTGATGTTCTGCAGATCATCTGATAGCAATATCAGGTCTATTCGACTAAAACGGTCTATTCTAGAGTTGTTACCTAGAAGTAATTTAGAGTATACCGCATCAATAACAACAACTTTAAGTTTTTGACATTTGTGTGAATTCAAGAGAAATAATTGTTCCAAAACGAAATTAAACTACTATTTTTTGTTTATTCCCACTATAACTATTAGATTTTATTTTGTTGCTAAAGTTAACAAAAAATCTCATTAAGGACGGTTCTTAAGTTTGCAAGGAATTTTCTAGCATCTGTCAAGTTTTAGTAAGAAATTTGACTACAATTTTCGAAAATTTGTCAAGCCCCTAGTTATTGTCTTGATGCCAAGCCTTGCCAATGACTTCGACTATAGAAAATACTTCTTCGAGAAATTTGACGAACTCTCAGGAAGTGATATTAAAAGCCTTATTTTTAAAGAAAAGAAATCAGCAATATACTTAACAAAGTAATTCTTACTATGTATAGTATTGAATAAGTAGCTGGGATAATATACCAGAATTAACAAAATCCAAATCATTTATTGGTACCTATAACAATAAGAGATAGATATGAATTTATCAAAAGAAAAACTTAGAATCATCACAGGAATCCAAACAGTGCACTGTAAACTAAAATATCACCTTACGACACTGGGTATACATAAGGATGCAAACTGTAGATTCTGTGAATAGAATGACGAATCGGCCACACATGTGCTGTTAGAATGCCCTGTGGTAATGCACATACGGAATAGGCTCCTGGGTATGTATATTTTTATGGGAGTGGCAATAAAACTCTATAAAGTAGGTCCTATACTACTCTTAATTGAAGCAATAGGGCTTATTGCGCCACATCCCCTAACAATAATAATAATCTATCAAGAGGATAAAAGTCTACAAAACTTTGCTAAAGATAAACAATATAAAAGATATTTTTTTTATAACAATTTTAATTAAAAGATATACCCTTGAAATTTGTAAACTGTCAGAATGTTGTTAAAATTAAAAAGCGCCTTTATACATAATATAAAAAAATTAATTATTTTCAAAGTTCAAAGGCTTTAATTTTATTAAATCTCAATATCAGTTTAAAGAAGAAGGCTGAAACTTGAATAACTGTTATCGATAACACCATTTAATGATAACAAAAGCGATTGAAGTTCCTTTGTTATCACATGTACATGCTTCATAAAATTGCTTGCGTGTATTTATATGTATGTGGGGTAAGTAAATTTATTTACCTACAACACTTTGGCCTGAAGTTTAATAGGAAAATATGTATTTCTTTTAGAAGAAGTGTTTGTCTTACGCACTGATTGTAAGTAAATTCTTCATAATATCTAGCACGTATTTCATATGTTTCTTAATTTTCGTTGTTCTGCATGTCTCACCTACCGGGTTATTCGCCTTAACATAAAGGCAATTGCCCTTCTAATTCAGTTGGCTTTTGTATCTTTGTTTGCTTACTAAAGTTATTGATTACCAAAGTTGTTAAGCTAACGTGTGTAAACTGTACCGAAATTGCTTTTTATATTCCTCCATTATGCCCTCTGCACTTCGGAAGCGGAATGGTGTGAAGTTGATGTTTCATTTATGAAAAATGTTCATTGTTCCCCTCAGTGATAGGCAAGCATAAAAATTATTCAAATAACGAATATGTTAATATTGTATATCCTCGGTACTTTGGTTTGTGACTTAGAGTGACTTAGAGTTAACGTGCTATCATTTTGAAAGTAAAATATTGCACGTCACTTCTTATATATATTTCAGCAGTTTGACACCTGAAAAATCAGCTCCTCACCAAAGTTATTGTGCAAGCATTTAACTTTTATGATTTATACGCATGAAATAAAATAACATTACTATATACTTAATATATGCCACGAATGAGGAAATACATTAATTTAGCTTTTGTTTATAATATTTTAAACTGAAATATAGGTAGTTCAAAATTTATATTAAAATAATGTATATTTGCTTAATGTTGCTTTTTTTTCAAGATAATAATAAGATAATAATTTATTTTAATAAAAAAAAAGCGGAAATAATATTTCTATGTAGCTGCTTAGTATTAAATAGAATTCTAGTGTGGGAGATAGTCATACAAAGGACTCTAATATAATTCAGATAATGACTGGTTCAAAAATCTGTTTTAGTTAATGAGTGGAAAATGAATTTAATTCTTAGATATAATATTTATACAGATCTTATTGGTTGCGGTGTAGTAGTGTTTCTTATAACAATAGCTATCATCCTTGGCGTACCAGTCCGTGTAGTACCTAGGTCTGCCTTACAACAACCTTCCATTTTTCTCTGTTCCTTGTTCTCTCTTTCCAGTTTCTTATATTCATCTCCTCTAGATCATCCTAGACACTGTTTTTCCATAGTTTTTTTTGGCCATTCTCTTTTTCTGTTGCTTCTGATATAATTTTCGAATATCTTGGGTTGCACTGTTTTTTGTGTTATTCTTATAATGTTACCGATTCATCTTAAATGTTGTTTTTTAATTAACTTGCTGTTTGTAGGATGTTCAACTGTTCTTATATATCATTTTTAATAAGTGCAGTAATATATAGTCTAGTATCGTCATGTTGAAGCCTTATTTTAAAGTAGTTATTTTTATAACACAGCTACCTTATAAGTAGAACTTGGGAGAGATGAATAGTGATATTGTCATTCTGGTTTAACAACTTTTCCAACACCACACCTATCTAATCCCACAAAATATAGTATATTACCTTGTTCATAAAGACATTTCTAGTTAGTTTTGATGGAAATAACTAAAGATAATGATGAGTTTCACTTTTAATGAGTTGTAACGTATTATATTCATATTTCGTTTTCAGTAGCTATGTCATATAAAAATTACTATCTTGTTTTTTTGATCAGTTTTTTGACTTTCAATATCTCTGTATTTCAATTAGTATGGTATCCATTTTTCAACTTTTATGCCATTTCTATTGACTTGAATATGTTTTCACATAAAGGTCTCGTCAACATTCAATGATTTTACAAATTATTAGCACATTTGAACGTTCCACACATATTCCTATTCTATCTTATCATATTTGTATCATTTCACTGTCTATAAATTTTTCTACTTATCAGTTCTTTATTGTTCTTCATACGAGGGCGGTTTGATAAGTCAGTGACTTTTTGAATTTTCCGCGCAGTTACTCCAAATGCAACAGTGCTGCCGTCAGCTGTAATCTACCAGTGGGCAACTTTCTAATTTTGACCAAGCTACGTCGTTCAGTTGGTGTTTGATAGTCGTTCAAAGCAGACAACCTCGAGAATTTTTACGAAAATGGAAAAATGTGAATTTCGTATTCTGATTAAGCATTCGTGGCGAAAATCCACGAATTGGGATACGAACTGCTACTTCATACAGCATACTCTCCAGATTTAGCTCCCTGCGTCTATTTTCTTTTTTAAAACCTAAAGAAATGGCAAGAGCTTTAAGTCGAATGAATGAAGAAGTCATTACCGAAACAAGCGCGTATTTTGAGAGCTTTGAGAAAACCTATTATTTTGAGGGAATAAGAAAATTAGAAAATGTATCGAGCTGGACTAAATGTATCGAGCTAAAAGGTGCTTACGTAGAAAAATAAAATGTTTATTTGCCGAAAAAAGTTTATTTTACTCAAAAAGTCATCAAATCAAGACTATAAAAAAATTGTAATTCTTCTATACAAGTGCTTGTGGATGAATTTAGCTCACCATAAATTCCATCAAACAAACTACATAATTTTGCGATTTTTTTATTAATTAGAATAAATAGAAAAATGAAATAAGCAGTTCTTTTATAAAGTTAATCAATATTTTAAGGATATAAAAATATTAACTAATTACAAATTAATATTAACGTGTCAAATTAGCATCCACTCACACCAAACTGAACTATTGATGCTTGTAAATGTAGTCTTGGTTAATATAATATATGAAT